TTATCAGTGGGGGAAGAAATTTTTACATAGACGTGAAAGAAGCTATGGTCATTTTGAAAACCAGAAATCACCTTGATGAACAGCCCGCCGTTTGCGCACGCCAGATCGAGTAGTCGCTGCGCGCTACGTGCGTGTACCTAAATTTCATACATAGTTTTTGAGCCCAGCCGCCGCCTCACCGCTTTGATGCCCTGGATCCACTCTTCGTTGTACTCGGCGTGGCGGGCGAGGAAGATCTTGTAGTCGACGATGATGGCAGAGACCTAAACGGGGGAATCATTTCCGGAAAGTCGAACGGGAAAACGCCAAAATCCCGCGATACAAAATCTTGAACAGGCCAAAATCCCGGCAGCCAGAGACCCCCGATTTTAAACCCATTTCTGGGTAAAACGAAAGGAAATATCACATTTGGGCTGTCGCGATTATGGCCGTCAGAATTTTGGCATTTTCCTAGATTAATTCGTTCCTGAAAAGTCAAACGTACATGTCTCGCCGCCCTCCCAAATCGAATGGCGCCGATCTGCTGCAAATCCTCGACAGTGTCGGCGGATCGGGCCACGCCCACCGCGCTCGCTATGCCCACGGTGCACCTAGAAAAACACAGATTTTATTTGATGGACTAGCGCTGAAAACAGAATTTCTGGCGTAAAATTTACCCGGTGGCCACGCCGATTTTCCTACGTAACGTCCATTGGGCTGTTCGAGTGGCCGTCGTCGCTAGGCGCATCACTAAAAAGGGAACTATGGCTTATCGAAGATTTTGAGGTCGTGAGTACGAAGAGGGGGGAAACACGCGACAAGAAGCTCGGACAACAACACCCGGCAAAGTGTTGAAAGAACGGCCGATTAGGTGCGGGGAATGTTGCGGATTGTCGCGTAGGGCTACCAGAGCGCGGTCGAGGAAACCCCGAAATCCCCCAAAAAAACATCAGCGCTTTTCGGTTATACAATAAAGTCTACACCAAATTTCATAATTCCCTATCAAAAAGGCGTTCTTTCGCACTATCGGGGGAGGGAGGGGGGGGGGCAACTTTTTCTAAGCGTCCAATTTGTCTGGAATACAAAAAGGAAGTTTTCGTATACTTTTTTGTAAAAATTTCCCAAAAATCCCATCAAAAACACAAAAATAAAATTTTTCGATCAAAATTTCAACTGAAAAATGTTTTTCGTGCTATTTTTCCAATTGAAATATAGTTCAATGTTACTAAAAAACTAGTAAAACATTCAATATCACGTTATTAGGCTTTTCTGGCTTTACGGAAAAGCATCCCCTCCCCCGATAATACATAAGCGCCCAAAAGTGCACGTTTCTCCTGGTATTTCAAGGCCGCAGAAACTAGATAGAAACATATGTATCGACTTCAGTGTATTTTCCAACTAGCCTCGCAACAACGACAAAACGTTTATTCTCCAAACAGTTCCAACAACAAATTAATCGTAAGTCAAAACAGCGCGATGCGAAATTCGTTTAAAGGGTGGAACTTTCGGGGTAGGTGGGGCCCCAATAATCAAATGCTAGAACGGGGGGAATTCGTGGGGGAAGGGCAAAATCAAGGCTTCTGGATCTGGATGGGGATCTTCTTGACGTTGCCGGTCAGACGCTCCTTCTCGTAGCGGACGGTGAGGTGGCCATCGCGCGACAGGTCGCTCTTTACCTGAAAAAGATAATTGAAGACCGAAACGGATTCTTTTTGCATTTTCGGGGGACTTTTTATGTTTAGAAATGTCTAGGAACTTAATGACAATTGTTTAAATAGTGTTTTCAGTAAAAAAAAATCACTATTTCAACGAGGGAACCTATCTAAAAACTTTTGAAAATCAAAATTTTTGTCGAAAAATCGATATTTCTGAGCTTTTCTAACAAAATCTGGTATGGTTTTTACGTTTAAAAAGAATAAAATCCAAAATTTACCTCCTCCGGCTTGACGGTCGGCGGCAGCCGGAATTTGCGCGTGAACGAGCGCATGACCTGAAAGAAGGAATTGAAAAACCCGAAAACGCCGCTGAATACCTGGCCAAATTTGTCCGTCTTCTCGTCGTGCCTTGCCTCGATCACCAAATCGTTGTCGATGATGTTCACCTAACAAACAATGTTAATGCCAAAGTTCGAAAGGTACCTTCAGCTCCTCAGGCTCGAATTGCGAGACGTCAATGGTGAACTTGAACTCGACCTCATTGTCGATCACCTGAAAAGAGCAGATTAGGAATACGAAACGGAAAGCGTACATCGTTGAGACCCTCGCCGAGTCGATGGCCGCTGAACATGGAGGTGTCGGCCCAGTAGGGTCGCGTGCTGACCATACGATCAAAGTCCTCGTCGAAGAAGTTGGACCTGGAAAGGAGAAGTTAAAAAAAGGGGGGGCGCGGAGCCTAGCCGCTTGATTCGAGCGAGCTCGTACTCGAAATCGAGGCGCGCATAGCTTTTTGAGCATCAGCAGCACCAATTTTGAGGTCTAAACGGCAGTCTGATGCTGTCCAATTCGAAATCAGCGCAAAAAACTGGTGTACGAACCCGGCAATAAAAACCCCACGCGTGGTAGCCTAGTCGCAAGAGAACGGAACAGTTGTGCGAGCACAGCGACTTCATAATGCGCCCCGGTGCTCATGTTCGGCGCGTTCGACTCGAGAGCGCGCGTCGCCAGAAACGCCCACGAAAACCATTACCTTCCCATCTGGGTGAGCGGCGAAAAGTGCGGGAAGCGGCGGTTCATGGCTGACGATGAGGTCTGCTGCGAGGGGATGGTCGACGCCGACGACTTCGGGACGTTCACTTCGTGCGTGGGAGTGGTGGCCGAGGTGGTACCTGGAAATGGGAAATAAAACGCAGGAAAAGTGTTTAGTACACAAGAATATGCCCAAAATTTCCAACGGAATACAATCTCCAATAGGGAATACTAAGTGGGTAGAATTCAATCAAAGGTGCTCGGGCAACGCGAAACGCTTCAGAAAACGTGGAAAAAGCCTGTTCGCTATTCTTCGTGCCCTTTCTAAGGCCTAAAACTTTAATTCCTCAGTTAACTTTCGTTTAAATAACCGCCGCAAAAACCAGTCATATAAAAACTCGGGGAAACACCAAAAACAAAGCGAAAAGCCTAAAAAACTCGAGCAGTTAGCCTCCAGATAGTGACCCGTAACATCAAGCGCCCCAAAGCTTTTATACCCCTATTTACGAAATGAATGATGACTAAGCGCCCGCTGAAAACTATTCGCGGTTGGGTGGGTGAAGCAGATGCAAAGCTACGGGAGAAAAAGACTGTCCCGGGTGCCCCCTCGGTTCCCCCGGAATAAGTACCCGAGTTGAGCGGCGAGTTGCCCTGTTTGCCCTAGTCATTAACAGCTTTGCCGGTCGGTTAGCGTGGGCGAATTTCGCAGGGCCCCCAGAAGCACCCCCGGCGGTCAAACTCGACAAACAGAAGAATTCGCGTTCACCAAAAAAAACCCGGCACCCTGGAAAGATGAGGCGGATGGCACAAAAATTACCCTTGTTGGCAGCGTAATGGGTGTTACCTTGATTGACGATGCCGTCCTTCTCCTCGTAAAAGTGCCGGTAGGTGTGCTTGATTGGTCGCGACATTGCTGGAAAAAAATAAAAGGGTTAGGAAAACAGAAGGCGCTATTTCGGTTTAGCCGAGGCCAATTTTGATCGGCGGTTTTCCCAACGATCCTGGGGTGGTTTGACGCGCTGAGCTCGAAACAGCATTATACCGCTTGAAACAGTACGCATAATGCAAATATCGTATTACTATTCTGTTTCGCTATACTCGAAATCAACGCAAAAACTAGCCCAGAGCGACTCAAAAATCGAAAGCAAACGTGGCCAGCATGAATTTTCTGCGGTTCGATTTCAATTTTAACGTTATTCCCCGGGAATCAAGCATTAGGAATTGGTCTATTGTTATTCGAGCTCAGTGCGCCAAATACCCTAGAATCGACGGGAAAACCGAGGCGGAAAACGGTCGCTTAAAGTCGGCCGGCTAAACCGGAATAGCGCCAACAGTCTGAGAAAAGAAAAGAATAATAAAAACGGAAAGAAAACGAAAGTAAAAAGTAAATCTCGTAAAAAAATTTCGAGAGAAAGAGAAACCCGAAAGTTCGGCCAGGGGCAATGCGAGTAGTACGCGCCAATACGCTCCCTGAAACTACGGTATCTAGATGCCAAATAAAAAACGAAGCGCAGGTTTTGAAAAACGCCGAAAAATTGTGTTTATTTTCGTTTTTCTTGCAAAACGATACAGCCACGTCTTTTGAAATTGTTTATCCGACTTATCGAGCACAAATAATGACCCGTACAAAACGACAATAGGGATTGGGACAACGAGTAGACAGAGCGAAGGAAGCGGACCGGCATTGGGAAAGCTCAAATTTGACAAGGAAATATACATAAAACAATTTTTGGGTGTTATTTCTTGACGCTGCGCGTTCGGGTGAGCCCCGAGCTGCGGAAGCCGAACGCCTGAATCTTCATCAGCGCGTCTTTTCGCTCGAGGGCCGGCGTGGAGGGCTGGGATTTGGTGGAAACCTGAAAATTAAAAGTTTCTATCGACTCCAAAAGATAAGGTTACGTTTACAGGAAAATCGCGTACATTTAGAGTTGGCCGTAGTTCCTTGTCGACTTCGGGGCTGATGGTCGGCTTATCGAAAGTTTCTAAAAACGGAATTACACCGCAAAAAACGCCGACAACCTGAAGACGGCGAAAGTGGAGCGTGGCGGCGCTTGACCCTCTTGAATGGGTTGATGGTGATCCTAAAATAGAACTTTTACGTCATCAAATAGCGTTCGTTATGAAGCATTGGTCGAAATAAACCTCGCGCAAAGCCATACTTTTCTCTGGCAATCATCGAAGCGCTGCTAGCCACCGTCGTTGTTTCGACAATGACGTCATCTAAAAGTAGGGAAATGAAGAAATACTAGGCTCTTGCGCATTATCAGGGGGGGGGGGTTTCGAATCGGCTAAATTTGCTTATACGGTCACCTACTCAAAACCCAACTTTTGATATGTCAAAATGCTCAGCAGGACGAGCTGATGCGAGATCCGTTGAGAAAACTTGGCGGCAAAAGCTCTAACTCAAGATACATGAGTTAGAAGTTGGCTAGTGTCGTATCCGGTCACCTACTCAAAACCTAACTTTTGATATGTCAAAATGCTCAGCAGGACGAGCTGATGCGAGATCCGTTGAGAAAACTTGGCGGCAAAAGCTCTATCTCGAGTTACACGACTTCGTAGTTCAATACACTGACTTCGAAAAACCGGTTTCGCTGATCGATAAGACGGTTTTGCGACAGGAGTCACTCAATTTGGAGGGAAAGTAATCGCTACTTCTTCCGCTCTGCGACTAGAAAAAGGCTTCGTGCCACCCGGGGCCTAGTCGCTTCGGATGGGTGCGAGCTCATACAGGGTTTCGAAATCGGGGCGCCCGAGGCGCGCGTAGCGGCCAGGCGTGAATGTGTGAAAAAATGTAAATCTGGGTTTAAAAACGTGCTTTTGATCAATTACGTAGGTTTCCGAATTTTCCTTTGGAATTTGTGCTGTCTTTTGGTGCTTTTCGTACTACTGACGCACTCAATATTTCGCCATTTTAGTGCTTTTCTTTTGTGATATCTCGAGATAGAGCTTTCGCCGCCAAGTTTTCTCAACGGATCTCGCATCAGTTCATCCTGCTGAGCATTTTGACATATCAAAAGTTGGGTTTTGAGTAGGTGACCGTATAAGCAAATGTTCCCTTCGAATCTAATTTTAAAAATTTAAGTCATGAAAGCCTTGCTAAACGCGTTTTAGCATTCCTAAGCGTGAAAAATTAACAAAATCTTATAAAACATGTCTAAATCTTGGATTTTTGACCAAAATTGCGACTTTTTAAGTTTTTCGATGGTTTTTCGAGCTGAAATGTAGTTATTTTTCAACAAAAACCCTAGAGTTGTACAAAAAAATTCGGTTCGGTCCCCCGATAATGGAAAAGAACCAAAAAAAATAAGTTTTACCATCCGAAGAATCGCCGAGCGTCTCGACTGAAGGTTCCCCGACATCGCCCGTCCCGTAAAACTGGGCAGCGCGCTTGCGATTGGCCAAAAGGTTTGGAGACGCCGTGGGCTGGGAGAAGAAGGCGGCGCCGGGTGATTGAGATGATGACGGGGAGCCCTGGAAATTTTGGTGTTTTCTTAATCTATGAAAAATACCGAATTGATCCTGGCCGGCTGCGAGTACATCCTCAGCATGTCCTGCACGCACCAATCGCCGGGCGGCTCGTTTTTGACGCGCCTGAAAATGTTCCGATTTCAAGAATTCGTGAAAAGGGCTTACTGAGCCACGCGCTTCGTCGCGACGCGAATCACCGACGTCGAGCAGCTTTCGCTGGAGGTGACGGAAACGTTGAGCGCATGTTTGGAGGAGCCCGGCGTCTAAAGTAGGATAACGATGAACGTACAAAGTGTTTTATATAGTTTTTAGTACGTTTTATCTATAAATGAAGTACAAAACTTAAAAAAAGTCGAAAATTTACATATTTTAGGTTAAAAAAAACCAGTTTTTCCACCCAGAATAAATTTTTCAGCAAAATTTGCAACGTCTTGATTCTCACGAATAGCTAAAAAATCCACAAACGCATCGCCTATTTCTAAAAAATGCAAAATTTAAAAAACGGCTTTACCGAGGGCTCGTGAACGGACTTCTCCAACGAAATGCCGTCGTCAAACAGCTGGGCTTGCGCTTCGTACTCGGGCGACCAAATCGACCAGGCGGGGATCTAAATTGGAATAAAACAACTTTAGATGATAAAATTACCTTTGCCGTCAACTCAAAGTTTTCCTCAAAGCTCCCGTCGTCCCGTTGCGAATTGCCGAGCGCCAGCTGGGTGGCGAATTCTGGGGGCAGAATCTGCAAAAAAACCTCATGGAGGAGCCGAAAGAACGAACCACTCCGGCGTATTCGAACGACGGCAATCTCCCGGTGAGCGGGTCGATGTTCTCCTTCTCAGATTCCGGGTACGGCGTCAGGGGGCGCTGCTTTCGGGCTCGCGGGTCGAACACAACCTAAAATTGTTGTTTGCTAGTAAAAGGGGTTCTGTTCTATTAGCGGGGGGCACCAAACCCCTTTTATAGCATTTTACGTAGCCTAGTTATAAAAACCATCAATTAAAAAAAATAAAAATTTTCAAACGTTTTTGAGTTTTTGATCAAAAATGTATGAAAATAACCAAAAAAAAAATAAAATTTTCGAGCTTTTAAGATTGAAAAATATCTTAAAAAAAACTTTTAAGCAATCAAAAACTACGTGGAAAAACAGAAAATGGTCCCCCCCGCTAACAGTCCAGTACCTGATGCAAGAACGTGTTCTCGGCTTGTATAAAGTCCTCGATGAACTCGTTGGTGACGCGCAGCTTCGGCATTCGCAGCGTGAACGGGACGCGACGTAGCATCTGAGAACCAATATCAGTTTTCGCGAATTTTTTTACCTGTCTCAATTCGGCGTTGCCAGTCTTCGCCAAGCACACTTGCGCCTTTGACAGCCCGACGCCTGGGAGGCCAGCCTAAAAATAAAAGTCCGAGAGATCAAAACGAAATTATTCGTTCACCTGCAAATAATCACATCCAGAGAGTATACAAAGGCGGCGAAACTTCTCGAAGGTGAATTTGAAGTTTGTTTGGAAGCAATTTTCCAGTTTCGAGCGATCGTAGAAGACGCAACTCCCCGCCGCCGCGTGCGTCCACTTGAAGATTATCTAAAAAAGGTGGTAACTGATCGGAAACTCCTTTTCAAATACCTTATGACACCCAAATACGATCAAATCCGAGTCTTGTGTGATGACGTAATCCACAATGCCCTCAAGCGAAAGGAACGCGAGCTGGGCGTCCGACTCGTACGGCGACACGACCACGTCCACGTTGCGCATTTTGCGGAACGACTGGAATATCGGCGAATAAGGCAATGTTTACATTACGAACCCGAATACAATCGTCCACCATCTCCTTCGTGATGTGCGTGGCGCGTTTGAAGTTTTCACTGGCCTCGTCCTGCTTGCCCTCCTTCATCAGCGCGTGGCCTACACGAGTTCCCAGCATTAATTTAACAATACTAAATACCTTGAGCCAAATATCGTTCCCGTTGCTCGCGGCGTTGATCGTTGACCTCCTGAAAAGCTCTTGCTCCACAACCGACGGAAAACCGGAGGCTACCCGCTTCGCCGGCAGCCGCCGCCCGTCGAACACCATCACCACGTGGCATTTCTGCTTCAGCAGCTCCTCGATAAAGCCGCGCACGTAGTAGATGAAGCTGAAAAAATTCACGTTGCAAAAAGTGACATAGAAAACGTACAAATTGGTGTCAACGCCGGTCGCCACCTTGTCCATGCAGCCGAAAAGCCCGCGGTGGAGTAGGCAACTAGCGTCGATGGCCACCGATTTGCCGGCAATCTCGCTGATGTGACCCTGAATTGGGTTTATAACAGAAAAAAGTTCGTTAACCTCTTTGCATGCCGGCTTCACGAAGGGTAGCAGACCGCCGATGCCCATCCGGAACTGAAATGCGAGGGATTAGAAGCGAACGGACGCAAAATAACTGAAAGAATCGATGCATAACCGCTTTAGCTGCTAAAATCGATAAAGGTTGACTAAATCGACTATGCGCTCTCATATTCCAACGAGAAAAAAAAGGCAAAAACTAGCTAGAAACCTCAGAAACCTAAAAGCCGTATTTAAGCCGATAATTTGCTAAAATCGATGCGGGCATTTGCGTTTGAGCTTTCTTATACAACTTTTCCGTGGATTATTTAGTATTCTACAAGTTTTCCCCTTACCAGTGAAATGGGTGGTCGCAAAAATTGGAATAAAATTCAGAGAGAGGCCCTAACACACTCAAAGGTTGTCGTTTCGCGCGCAAAAATTCCCAGCACAGGCACAGAACCGATTACGAGCCCGGTGGCGCAAAACTTGTAAAGCCCTGAGGGGACCGCGTCATTTCAGCAAATAAATTAGACGCGAAAGCGTGAAACATATCCTACAAGCGTGAAAAGCATGTTTGTTTTCTGTAACAATTGATTGATTGATTCGCACCACCGCAACTGGTAGATTTTTTGATGCTCTATCGAATAGCGTTAACAGAATGTCGAAAAATATAGAAAATCCCGAAGAATACCTTACCAACCCCATTTTCAGGGTTATTTTAGCTGTTGTTGTAAAAAATTTCGTGGATTCATAGAAGCGCAAAAAGCTCGAAAAACTCAAATTCCAAAACTCGGAAACGCTAAATCCCTGGAATTTCCGCGCTACGCCTATCCACGTTTTTTTTGTCGGTCGAACCGGCGGAAACGCAGCTAAAAACCGAAAAACTGGCGGCGGTGCATAGCGTGTATTTTCGTTTTTTTTTGCAACGCATTTCACATGGTTCAGAAAAGGGCCCCCCCTGGGTACACGGCATGCAGAAAACACAGGGAGGCCCTCGTCCGCGGGTCAACATTTTAGCAAACAGCCCGAACACGCCATGTAAATCCGAAAATAAAAAGCCCGTTGATCTAGCAAATTCTTATTGCTAGCAATAAGAAATTCTATAAAAAGCAAATACTTTCTAATTTTATCTATTATGTTTCAACAATCACTACTGAATTTCAGGATGAGTGCTGAATTGGCATGCCCAAGCCTCTTCTGCGACTACAAGACCGGCCACGCCGGCCATCTGAAGCGACACGTGATGGCAATGCACCCGGAGCTCGAAGCGCCAAAGTCAATGCCTCGTTCCCCAGGGCAATATCATTGCGCAGAGTGCGGTGACTTGTTTGCGTCGACAAAATCGCTGAGTCGCCACGTCAAACGTATCCATCAGTATATCTATGATGGCAGCGTGCAGTGCCCGGCATGCCAACTAGGATTTGGAACACACGAGGGAATGGTCAAACACTATGGCGAGCAGCACAATTCCGGGTAAGTAGATATACACGTACTGAAACCCCTGACGAGCGATAGTGGCTCGATGTTCGCATCTGTTCCAGGTACGAAGTCCACTTCCTCGAGTTCGATGACGAGTCGATCTTCAAGCAATGGCTCAAGCAGCTGGAATATCAGTGCTGTGCGAGTTTTGCGATCCGCGACAGCGATGCGAAGGGCAAACGGTACAGATGCTCGGTGGCAGGGTTGACACTGGGTTCCCCTCCCAAGAAGAAAATGACGACAAAAGGATTGACCCATTGCACTGCTTTCGTAAACGTGAGTATGCCTTTATGAAAAGTATTGATGAAGTATAAAACTCTTTCATACCTACAATACAGTGCAATTTTTACAGGCAAAGATTCAAGAAGGCAAAGTTTCGGCTACGTTTTGCCAGCAACACGTCCACGAACCTCAACCAAATACCTTGAAGATCAAAGGTTCATTAGTGGAGGAAAAAATCGTACAGCTTCTCGAAATAGGTATATAGTGTCATAGTTCGGGTGTGAAAATTCGGTTGTTTAGGACTGGACAAGAAGCAAATAATCGACGTTTTACGGAAGGATATGCAGGATTTTGATAGTGTCCCCGCCTCGTACGATTACATCGTAACCGAGCGCGACGTCGAGCGCATCAAGATGAGCCATGGTTTAGTTCACGGACGCAGCGATGCAAACGATCTCGTATCTACGGAGATGCGCAGTTGTGAAGATTCGGCAGTGAAATACTATCGCCCGCCAACTAATCTTCCATCCGCCAATGGATTTTCGTTAGGTTGGTCGATGCAAAAGTTAATATTAAATTTATAAAAAATTTATCATGCGCCAGGGGCGCGGTTATGTGATTAATTTATATGTTGATAACATAACATACGATATACATTAAGGCTAAATAACAAACTACGGTTGATAATATCCTTTTGCAGCAATCATGACTGACCTGCAAGCCGGCTGGTTGAAGAAATACGGAAACAAGGGCCTGGTGGTGGACGACACGTTCGGGATCACTGTCTATTCGCTACGACTCGCCACGGTCCTTGTACTAGATGATAAGGATCGTGGGCTGCCAGTGGGCCATCTGCTCACTGCTCAGCTTCAAATAGAGGACATGGCCCGCTTCTTCAAAATGATGAAGTAGGACCTAACATATAAACAGATAAAAGATTTTCAGAGATGCCGTTCCGGAACTACTACCGGCTCGGTTTATGACGGATGATGATCCGGTATTCTGGCGAGGATTTAAACAAGCTTTTCCCGAAGCCACCTCACAACTGTTGATGTGCAAGTGGCACCTGCTAAATAGTTGGAAGCGTAACCTCGGGAAGATTGACCAGGTTTGGATCCAATTTCAATCAAAAATTTGAGTGTTTAGGTGAGTCTGCGAGAAACCATCATGGCTGATCTTCGCACGCTTGTAAATATAACGAATCGCGAGGAGTTTAACGACTACTACCGGTTGTTCACAGAATCCCTGTCGGGTCACGGCGAATTGAAATTCCTTCAGTATATAAAGGTAGTAGAATTCCGAAAAAAACACGGGCATTTTCTTTAGAAATATTACGAAGATCGAATTGAAGAATGGGCAGCATGGAATCGGGCCGGATCCCACTTTGGCACGTCGATGGCAGCCGAATGTTGGCATCGCCGCTTGAAAGCTGAGGTCCTACAAGGAAATCGACGCGGACGAGTCGATGCGCTCATCGAGAAGCTTATTTCTTATCCGGCAAAGTACGCAGCGCATCTACACATCCAAGACTATCGATACACGAGTACGACGCGCCGTGAGCAAGAAATCGTCAAGGCCCACAAGAAAGCCGAATCCTTGCTTGATACGGCTTTTCAGTACGAAGATGGTCGAATACTGGTCAAGTCCGCCACTTCTGACCAGGTCTACCAGCTCACCAAGAGCGGGTCGTGTGATTGCAACGTAAGCTTTAAAAACTGTATTTTGCAACAACTCACCCATCTAGGTTGCAAAAAATTTGCACTGCCGATTTTGCAAATGCTGCCCGTACGAGTGGCGATGTACGTGTTTGGCTGCTAATGTCGCCGGTGTCGTGTGCAAACACGTTCACATCATCCACCTCAAATGTAGGTTAACGGAGTTATCGAAACTAGAGCGTTAGTGTGTGAAACAATTTTTAATTTGCAGATGCCATCAACAAGGCAGATGCTGCCCCTGTCGACGAGAATGATAAAGACGTCCACCAGGATATTCAAGATGTTCCGTAAGTCTTGTCCCATGTAGCAACAATTGTTTTGCAGAACCTATCCGGAGGATGCTACGGAGAGCGCCGTGCCACCCGTGCCAGAAGGTGATGCTGATGCTAAGGAGCGTGACATAGCTATCAATGTAAGTTAAGTAGTCAAAAACAGTCAAACTCAACCCCTAAAAACGTAAACTTATCACGACAAATTTTATTCAGAATGCTTATGCCTTGCTGCACATGCTGAAGAAGTCGAAGCCGGCCCCTGCTCATTCAACGGTTAATCTGCTGATCCTCGAGGCCATGAAGTCGTTGAACTGCAGCACACCCGTTTCAATGGCTACTACGTCGACTAAACCCGTCCCCATTCGCGAATCGGCGCATGCATTCAGAATGGAAAGCCGAGCTATAAAGAATCGCGCTAAACAGCTTGAGCGAAAAGCCGATAATTGAGCGAATATCAGTGCTAATGTTGTTGTTGTTGTTGTTGTTGTTGTTGTTGTTGTTGTTGTTGTTGTTGTTGTTGTTATTACTGCTAATAAAGTTATATCTTGGCTCTGATAACTCAAATAAAGAAGCCAGAAACAAAAAGTAAATATAACAAGTGTGAAAATACTTCCTTGCACATAGTATTTGCTTTTTATAGAATTTCTTATTGCTAGATCAACGGGCTTTTTATTTTCGGATTTACATGGCGTGTTCGGGCTGTTTGCTAAAATGTTGACCCGCGGACGAGGGCCTCCCTGTGTTTTCTGCATGCCGTCCTGGGTACAGGATGCAGAGCGCTCTAGAGCGCAGACGCGAGGCAGACAGGCAGGGGAGGGGTGGGGCGCGCGATAGCAGACAGCCGGGCTAATCTTTCGTACACACCATTTATGATTTGAACGCGCGGGGGTGGGGGCAGACAGCCAGAGGGAGGGCGAGAGTGCCGAGACCCCCTCTCCATCCTGTCCCCGCTCGACGAACCTTTTTCGTATGGCTCTGAACGCTGTGATTTATTGCAAGCTATTAGTGACGCCAGGAAGTGGCCATCGCTGTTTCAATCGTTCGAGGGGCCGAATGAAGGACAACCGTCTCGCCTCCCACTCGATCAGCTCGATGTCGGGCCCGTAGTTGATCGCGTAGAACATTTGGATCACATCGTAGTCACCGCGCTAAAAATGTTTTGGTTAAAACAACAAGTAGCAGAGATCATTTATTTAAATAGCTTACGAGATGCATCGCTTTCGTCGACGAAACGCTGTAAATCCGGCAGTTTTCCCGCAGCAAATTCCCGACTTTATTGACTATTTTTGTGTAGAGGTTCCAGCAAAGCTAAAAAAACAATTTTGGCTTGATAACTCCCTTAAAAAGATACCATTGGTTTCCGGATTAGCGCCGTGCAGACGACAAGCCGTCGCCTCCGGCTTTTCAGGGCCTGCAATGTTTTTGGTTTGTCACTCTTTTAAGCCTGTAAAGCCTAAGCCAAGCCTAAGCCTACCAGCTGCAGGGTGTGGCGGGCGATTTTCAGAAAAGCCAGCGATAGCACGCGACCGGCCCGCGAATCAGAGTGGATACGCACGCTCACGTAGTCGTGGTTCTTCACCTAAAACAGGGCGTTTTTGGAAAAGAAGGGGCAGGCTAGCAGAGATTCTTTGAGGAATGGAGGGCAGGATAGCAGAGGAAATTAAGGAAGTTGCCATCTACCAAATCGAGCCTCATCGGATACGGCGTTTTACAGTTGCATTTGATGGGGCCCATATTTCGGAGGGCATACGCCACGCGGCAGACATGATGCGTCGTGAATTCCACCTGGAATCTCTAACTTAGAACTTCGGATTAGGCTTGGCCTTGGCTTGGCTTAGACTTGGCTTAGACTTGGCTTAGGCTTGGCTTTGGCTTAGCTTTGGCTTAGATTTGGCTTGGCTTAGGCTTTGCTTAGGCTTTGCTTAGGCTTGGCTTAGGCTTGGCTTAGGGCTTGCTGGCTTGGCTTAGGCTTGGCTTAGGCTTGGCTTAGGCTTGGCTTAGGCTTGGCTTTGGCTTGGCTTAGGCTTGGCTTAGGCTTGGCTTAGACTTGGCTTAGGCTTGGCTTAGGCTTGGCTTTTGAGGCTATTTTGAGCTTTGCTTAGGCTTGGCTTTGCTTAGGCTTAGGCTTAGAAGCTGCTTAGGCTTGGCGTTAGGCTTGGCTTAGGCTGGCAGACTTGGCTTAGGCTCTGGCCCAGGCTTGGGCTTAGGCTGCAGGCTTGGCTTAGGCCTGGCTTAGGCTCATCTAGGCCTTAGGCCTGGTCAGGCCTGGCTAGGCTTTAGCCATTAGGCTTGGCTTAGGGCTTGTCTTAGTTGGCTTAGGTCGGCAAGCCTACAGCGGTTTCAAGCTTACTTAGGGCATTTAGGCTTGGCTGTAGGGCTTAGGCCTGGCTTAGGCTCACTAGGGCTCGGCTTAGGCTTCATTTAGGCTTGCCTTAGGCCTTGGCTTTAGGGCTTGGCTTAGGTCATTGAGTCTGGCTTAGGGCCTTAGGCCTCAGGCGCTTTAGGGCTAGCTCAGTCTCGTAGCTTAAGCGGCAGGCTGCAGGCTTGGCTGGGCCTTAGGCCTGGCTTAGGTCATCTTGGCTCTAGGCTTGGCTTAGGCCTGGCAGGCCTGGCTTAGGCCTCGGCTTAGGGCTCATTTAGGCTTGGCTTAGGCTTTAGCTCAGCCTTGTCTAGGCTTGGCTCGGGAGGCTTGTTTAGGGCCTGCGCAGGCTTGGCCATTTAGCTTGGCTTAGGCCTTGGCTCTAGGCCTTAAAGCTTAGCCCTTGGCCCCAGATCTGGCTTGGCTTAGGCTTGACTTAGGCTCTGGCTTAGGGCTGGCCAGGCTTGGCTTAGGGCTTAGGCCTAGGCTTGGCTTAGGCTTGTCCAGGCTTAGGCCTAGGCTTAGGCCTTGGCTTAAGCCTGACTTAGGCTGCATTAGGCTTGCCAGGCTTGGCCATGGCTTAGGCGGGCTTAGGGCTCGGCTTTAGGGCTGGCCTAGGGCTTGGCCCCAGCTTGGCCATTTAGGGCATTGGCCAGGCTTCTGTCTTGTAGGCCTAGTCACAGGCTCAGGCTTGGCCTAAGCTTGGCTTAGGCTTGGCTTAGGTCTTAGGCTTCGAGCTGGCTTTAGGCTTGGCTTAGGGCTTCGGCTTAGGCTTGGCTTAGGCTTGGCTTAGGCTTGGCTAGGCTTGACTAGGCTTGGCTTAGGCTTGGCTTAGGCTTGGCTTAGGCTTGGCTTAGGCTTGGCTTAGGCTTGGCTTAGGCTTAGCTTAGCCTTGGCTTAGATTTGGCTTGGCTTAGGCTTGGCTTAGGCTTGGCTTAAGCTTGGGCTTGGCTTGGCTTGAGCTTAGCTTAGGGTCGGCTTAGGCTTACAACTTACCGCTTCCGCAGCCGGTGTGCAACGTATTCTGGTGCGTAGCTTGGCGTACTCTCCGTCGATAAATAAGAGACGATATTCGCCGCGGAACGGCTTCTTCAGCAGGTTCAGATTGTGGGAGAATTTCAGCTCTTCCTGCAAGAGGGCAGGCTGGCAGAGGTTCCTTGAGGAGGGGGAGAGCGAGAAAAAGAGAGAGAGAGAGAGAGAGAGACAAACCGGCTAGCAGAGATTCTTTGAGCCAACATACCTCCGTCGAGCCGAGCGGCCGGAAAATGACTGAGGCTCCGCTGAGTACGTCCGTAATCTTGTTGACGATTCGAAAACAATTTTCTTCGTGCAGCCGATCGAAAGTGGCCCTCAATGCCAGTCCGTTCGCTATCGTCAAGGGTAATTTGAGCGCTCTAGAAAACACTAACTATCATTATTATTAATTGTTAGGTAAATTACGTAATTTTTAATCCCAACCCAAACTGGTTGTAGACGATATCGAGGCGCATTTGCCCGCTCCCGTGTCGCCCCTTCGTCAGAATCAACGCGAATAGTTCTTCGGGAGTCCGACAGCAAATTTGGATCTAAAAACGGCGAATTCCTCAAAGAATCTCTGCTAGCCTGCCCCCTCCCCCTCTCTCTCATCCCAAATGATCTCTGCTAGCCTGCCCCCTCCCCCTCTCTCTCATCCCAAATGATCTCTGCTAGCCTGCCCCCTCCCCCTCTCTCTCATCCCAAATGATCTCTGCTAGCCTGCCCCCTCCCCCTCTCTCTCATCCCAAATGATCTCTGCTAGCCTGCCCCCTCCCCCTCTCTCTCATCCCAAATGATCTCTGCTAGCCTGCCCCTCCCCCTCTCTCTCATCCCAAATGATCTCTGCTAGCCTGCCCCCTCCCCCCCTCTCTCATCCCAAATGATCTCTGCTAGCCTGCCCCCTCCCCCTCTCTCTCATCCCAAATGATCTCTGCTAGCCTGTCCCCTCACCTTCATCCCATCCATTTCACAGTGTATCGTATCCCATTGATTCGGGAGCCAGCAGCCGCAAATTTTTCGATTTTCATAGCGCTAAAACGGGGTTAAAATTAGATTCAAAACAGTGAGAGAATTTGTATACAAACCATAGTTATATATATATATACTTTATTCAGTAGTCGAATAAGAGGGGGAGGCAAGTGTGGTGCCACTGGTCAGAGGTTGTATAACATGCGGAAACAAACGGGGGAGGGAAGAAAAGATCACAGAAATTGGGACAGGTCCATTTTTTCTAAAGTTACACGAAAGCTCTTTGCATGTTGCAGTTTATTTCTAGGCAATAAAATGCATTAAAACTATCCAAATTAATCAGAAAAAACCTACGGAGCACGTTCTGTTGAGCCTGAGCTTTTCCGGCAACCGCAAATGCCGGTGCACCAAATGCAGCTGATCCGCGTTCAGTGCCCCAATCGAAAAGCGGGGTCCGCCCGAGTGCCTGCAATATTTTGATACAATTTCCCGGAATTTATCTTTTTTTTCTTTTTTTTCTTGCTCGAAGGTTCCATTTTGTCGAAATATAAATAGCGTCGGTGTTTCTAAACTGCTTTTTTTACTTCCCCTTAACCCCAAAAGCGAACAAATTTGCGTAAAGAAACGCAAAAGTCTAGATTTTTCTAGGAAAATGGCCGATTTTGACCAAAGTTCGGCTAATTTTTAGATTTTTGAAAAATCATTTTTCTATTGTGTTTCCACCTCAAATATAACTAATTTTTACAACCATTAAACTAATAACTATTAAAGAAAACACTTACGACTGCATTAATAGGCATTACTAGGCAGATTAGGTCACCCGAGAATGCGAAGGAACCATAAAATGCAATAAAAATTTCACGAAGACAGGATTTAATTAAATTGCTAAACGATATAAATATCAAGCTTAAATCGAGAAATTTTATTGCGAATTTTGTCCAGTTTTTAAATTTTGCACTTAAAATTACTATATTAAGCGATCCAGACAGCCACACTCATTGAATTTGTTCGAAACATTTTTTTTGTAGATTCGAATTTTTTTCAGACAGGGTTGTTTGATACGAAATTCCCACCTTATTTTTGGATCGTCCATTTTATTAATTTAATAATACTAAGAAAAATACAGCAAAATGAATAGGAATTAAACACGAGAATCGATATTTGTTGGGCTTGGTGGCAGCCGGGGGTGGCTTGGGGGGTATTTGAGGCGGTAATGCCCTGGGGCTATAAGGGCTGTCCTCCCAGGGGTCACGGTATTGATTCATTATAGGGGGGAGGGGCAGGCTAGTAGAGATCATTTGGGATGCATTTTTGTATGTCCGAATTTTTTCTGGATATGGCATTTATTCGGCACCAAAAAACAATAAGAATTACATAAAAAATAAATAGAAAATCGTCAAAAACAAAAAAAAATTGAAATACTCAGAGATCATACGGTAGAGAGGTAAAATAAGGAGAATCATATGAAGGGTATCTTAAGAGAAAACGGAGTAAGCTTAGCGTAGGCTTGGCCCAGGCTTGGCTTAGGCTTGGCCTAGGCTTGGCTTAGGCTTGGCTTAGGCTTGGCCTAGGCTTGGCTTAGGCTTGGCTTAGGCTTGGCTTAGGCTTGGCCTAGGCTTGGCTTAGGCTTGGCTTAAGCCTTTCAAAAAAGAACTGCATTTTCCACTTAATAAAATTCGTTATAAATGCACGTCCGGAGAGTCTGACCTAATAGAAATCGATTTTCTATCGTTATTATTATTAGAAGGCTTTGGGAGCAGATTCTGAGACTTTGTTCTCACATCAGAAGTGGAGGGAGGGCCACCGGCCATTGAGAGATCCGAAACGAACCAGCCGATCGTGTTTTTGAGCTCGCGTTGGACCTGAAAGAGAGAGCGATGAGAGAGATGAGAGATGAGAGATGAGAGATGAAAGAGAGAGAGCGAGCGAGCGAGCGAGCGAGAGAGAGACAGAGAGAGAGGAGAGGGAAGAGAGAGGGGAGAGGAGAGAGAGGAGGGGGGGGAGGGGGAGGGGAGAGAGAGAGAGGAGAGAGAGAGAGAGAGAGAGAGAGAGAGAGAGAGAGAGAGAGAGAGAGAGAGAGAGAGAGAGAGAGAGAGAGAGAGAGAGAGAGAGAGAGAGAGAGAGAGAGAGAGAGAGAGAGAGAGAGAGAGAGAGAGAGAAAGGACACGCCGACCTCCTTATTGTTACAAATATACGTGAACCCGTTGGCCCCAGAGTTGACGATGACGAACAGCGAGACAAAGGAAAACCTGAAAAAAATTTTTACGGGCAAGCTAGCAGAGATTCTTTGAGGAATGGCGGGGAAGGCTAGCAGAGATTCTTTGAGGAATTCGACTCACCATTCCTTCGACGATTTCCCAAATAGCATCGGAAATACCCGAAAGCATACCCAGGCGAGCAGGTAGAAGAGGGAGATGGCGCAGAATTGCATGGCGTAACTGAAAAAGTCAATTTTTACATTTCGAAAAAGTTGTTTCATCTTGATTTACCGATCCTAAAATATGCAGCAATTTAGTATTTGTAGATAGCGGCACTGTGGCCTTTTTTGGACTGGGCATGCTAGAAGAGATTCTTGGCGTCTTGGAAAGCCATATTTTGACGGGTTCAATCCCAAATGATCTTTGCTAGCCTGCCCGCATGGATTTTTTGGCTGGGATTTGCACGTCGTTTTTTTTTTGTGATAAAAAGTGTTTCATAAATTTTTGATACCCGAATTTTTTAAGCAGCGTTAATTCACTTCGGTCATAGGCTGGTGCTCAAAAATACGTGAATATTTACAAGGTCGTTAATTTAATCGATAAATATTGATTTTTAAGATTTTTTGTAGGTTTTAAACCCTTTATTTACATTAACAATTTTATTTTCTAGGTCATTAGCCCCAAAATAATCAATAACCCCTAAAAATTACCGATATTCCTTGTATTTTCGGCGTAACGACACGGCGGGGGCCATGGCTGTGGAGAGATTTCGCCTCGAACGCCTCATATTTAGCGTTATCTGGAAAAAAGCACCTAGAAGACGCCAGGTGAATTTTTGCAGGCGTATTGCAATGGATAGCTCCTTTATCGGGAATTAGGAATTTTTGTGCTGCCCAACGATGGAACATTTGCGAAACATTTTTTTTTGCTTGGGACCCGCAGCAAAAATACGGCAATTATTAACTTCCTATTTTTGCCAAATTGGTGGCTGGAATTTTCTCTTATTTTTTGTATAAATTAGCAACTCCCGGCAGTTTTGATAATAATTCACCGATATGGAAAGCTACGGTACTACGAAAAACTAAAAGCGCCGTCAAAAAGTCATTAAAAATGTTTGTTTCAAAAATATTCGGTAACAAAAATTGTCAAGGCGCTTCAATCGGGCGTTTATATCAAGTGCGTCGTTTTCCTCGCATTAAAATCCGAATTTAATATGACGCAAATTTCCTTTTTTTTGACATTTTATGAATTTGTAGACGTTTAACTGATCGCAAAAAAGATGTTTCATTCAAACCTAATCATCCAAGGCTTTTAAAAATCGTAATATTTCTATTTTCGTGCGCAGGAATCCAAAGAAACCGAGTTTATGATCGGTCAATAATTTAAAACGTATAATTTCAATTTATGATCGACAAGAAATTACGGTAAAAAAATCTGTTTCATCAAAATCTAATAACGAAATTTTTCTTAGGGATTCACTTGGCCAGTTATTCATGATTTAATCTAAAAATCAAGGTTTCAAAATAAAGGTTCAATGTAATATGTGATGTTTAATATAATGTTATAAAATTTGACAATTTAAATTCATATGATCAATAAAAAGCACGCTAAAAAAGTTTGTTTCATCAAAATTCAATAACAAAAATTACCCCTTAAGCCTGATTACGATTTCCATCGGGTTTGGAATAAATATCAATTTCATGATTAGATTATAAAACTTTTAGTCTTAATTTTAATATAATTAAAAACAGCATTTTCTCAATTTTATTGGTTTTTAAACTACCGTACCCAGCCATACGAAATGACGCAGACGAGGGAGGACGAGTTGTTCAGCGGGATATCCATTCGATTTGACCAATTTGGGAGGCCTTCAATGGTAGAATATGAATAGGAATATACGGTAGGGTCGAAGGAGAATCTGGAAAAATATAAAATGTATAGAAATATATAAAATGACAACTTATAGCCCGAAAAATGGTCAAAAATCGCTGCTAGCCACTCTAAAGTATGTTTCAGCAAAAACATATATCAGCACAAAGCCAGAAATTATTACAATAAGCGTGTCGATGTGTTTCTAAAATTATTTGGATTAACTTGAATTTTTAGGGATATGGCAGGCTAGCAGAGATCATTTGGGATGAGAGAGAGGGGGAGGGGGCAGGCTAGCAGAGATCATTTGGGATGAGAGAGAGGGGGAGGGGGCAGGCTAGCAGAGATCATTTGGGATGAGAGAGAGGGGGAGGGGGCAGGCTAGCAGAGATCATTTGGGATGAGAGAGAGGGGAGGGGGCAGGCTAGCAGAGATCATTTGGGATGAGAGAGAGGGGGAGGGGGCAGGCTAGCAGAGATCATTTGGGATGAGAGAGAGGGGGGAGGGGGCAGGCTAGCAGAGATCATTTGGGATGAGAGAGAGGGGGAGGGGGCAGGCTAGCAGAGATCATTTGGGATGAGAGAGAGGGGGAGGGGGCAGGCTAGCAGAGATCATTTGGGATGAGAGAGAGGGGGAGGGGGCAGGCTAGCAGAGATCATTTGGGATGAGAGAGAGGGGGAGGGGGCAGGCTAGCAGAGATCATTTGGGATGAGAGAGAGGGGGAGGGGGCAGGCTAGCAGAGATCATTTGGGATGAGAGAGAGGGGGGAGGGGGCAGGCTAGCAGAGATCATTTGGGATGAGAGAGAGGGGGAGGGGGCAGGCTAGCAGAGATCATTTGGGATGAGAGAGAGGGGGGAGGGGGGCAGGCTAGCAGAGATCATTTGGGATGAGAGAGAGGGGGAGGGGGCAGGCTAGCAGAGATCATTTGGGATGAGAGAGAGGGGGAGGGGGCAGGCTAGCAGAGATCATTTGGGATGAGAGAGAGGGGGAGGGGGCAGGCTAGCAGAGATCATTTGGGATGAGAGAGAGGGGGAGGGGGGCAGGCTAGCAGAGATCATTTGGGATGAGAGAGAGGAGGAGGGGGCAGGCTAGCAGAGATCATTTGGGATGAGAGAGAGGGGGAGGGGGCAGGCTAGCAGAGATCATTTGGGATGAGAGAGAGGGGGAGGGGGCAGGCTAGCAGAGATCATTTCGGATGAGAGAGAGGGGGAGGGGGCAGGCTAGCAGAGATCATTTCGGATGAGAGAGAGGGGGGGGGGCAGGCTAGCAGAGATCATTTGGGATGAGAGAGAGGGGGAGGGGGCAGGCTAGCAGAGATCATTTGGGATGAGAGAGAGGGGGAGGGGGCAGGCTAGCAGAGATCATTTGGGATGAGAGAGGGGGGGGGGGGCAGGCTAGCAGAGATCATTTGGGATGAGAGAGAGGGGGAGGGGGCAGGCTAGCAGAGATCATTTGGGATGAGAGAGAGGGGGGGAGGGGCAGGCTAGCAGAGATCATTTGGGATGAGAGAAGGGGAGGGGGCAGGCTAGCAGAGATCATTTGGGATGAGAGAGAGGGGGAGGGGGCAGGCTAGCAGAGATCATTTGGGATGAGAGAGAGGGGAGGGGGCAGGCTAGCAGAGATCATTTGGGATGAGAGAGAGGGGGAGGGGGCAGGCTAGCAGAGATCATTTCGGATGAGAGAGAGGGGGAGGGGGCAGGCTAGCAGAGATCATTTCGGATGAGAGAGAGGGGGAGGGGGCAGGCTAGCAGAGATTCTTTAAAAAACCCACTTGCAACAGGGGAATATCTTCTGTGCCAGCATCGTCAACCCGAAAGCTACGGGATACACCGCCGAACAGACGACGACCATGCGCAGCGTATTAAAAGAGCGGCACGAGAAGCAGATGACCATCACCCTGAAAAAGTGGCAAAATTGTACTATGATACGAAATCTCGCCCCAATATTCATTTTTTTGATTGGTTAGCTAGCCGCATTTTTGAAACATTTTGTTCTGGGTTATCGCATCTTTTGGTAGAAATCTAAATTAAAAGCGACGGGGAGATCGAACGATGGAAACCACCTTTTTTCCTTAGCTTTCCATTTTTCTAATATGAATCAAGCAGTATTTCTAGAATGTTTTTACTATTGCTAAACATAAAACCCTTACAAATTTAGCTTTCAAAAATACCGCAATTGCTCCGAAAAGCAACGGGATGGTTTTCGGCGAACTGGTTTTCGGCGTAATGGTCCGATAACCTATTTTTTGACCAAAATTCTCGATTTTTTTATGAAATTATCGAGTTTCTAGACGATTTTCCACTTGAAATATAGCTAAATTTCCCAAAAAACCCAATTAGGTAACAGACTCACTGTTACGTTACTAGACATTTGGGACTTGTAGAAAATTGGAGGTTTTTTGGAGACACAGGTGCGCATAATTTTTGGTAGGTAAAAAATGTTTCACAAAACCTCAATTTTCGTCAGGTCATTACTTTTAGTAATTTCATCATGACCAAAGCCCTAAATGTTTCTTGAGTGGCCCGAATTGGCCAGTTCGAATTTTTAGGCAATAATTTGGCGCGCCGCGACCCGCAACGCCCGCCTTTTCATTGCGTAAGCGGGGCGTGCGTTGCGTGTCGCGGTTTTTAGCAAAATCGATAGGGTCGGTTCTAAATATATAGTTTTGCCTTTCCCGTCACTTTAAATTGCCGAAAAATTTTGTAGATTTAAATTTTGAAGACTGCAATGCCAAAAGTCACGGAATTATTATCGTTATCGAGGCCGAGCCGTACCGCTGCTAGGTGGAAACATGGAATTTTCAAGGTTGTTTTAGCACAAAAAACTTGTTTTCTGCGAGCCCAGAAATGCATAAAAAGTTAATATCGACTATTTTAATCATGTTTATACTATGTTTAAAGGGGAAAAACTATCTAACACGAAGAAATTTTTGAAAATTGGTCCAAAATCGCTGATTTTTCGCCGAAAAAATGGAGTTTTTGCATTTTTTAATGAGAATTTGAAACGGTTTATGCGTTTAAAATTAGTAAAAAGATTTCAAGAACACTGCCTCTATTGATATTGGAAAAATCGGCTTCTGAAATTTGATTGGATTTTACCTCCGGATTTCCCAAATTTATTTTTGTGAAAATGGACGTTGACGGTCAAAAATTAAAAACCTAGATTTTTCAGGCAATATTCTGTATTTTTGCTAAGCATCTACAGGAAGTTTTAACCAGAAATTAAACTCGTTTAAGTTAAACAAGACAAACGAGAGTTTACGGTCCCTTAAAAAACCTTAATAAAACTAAAAACCCACCGATTAACTGCCGTAATCGTTTGGTTGAGTGACGTGTGATACCAGCAAAACATGAAGACGGAAGAGAAGAACACATTGCCAGGCCCATACCTTCCGCCCGAAAAGATAAATTTCTGAAAGAGAATTGGTTAGTTTAGAAAAATTGCTGAATTTGATTAAATAATTATTTTTTGTAAAAATTAAAACTTAGAAGTGCTTCGGAGCGGAAATTACTGGTTTGATTTTCACATATTTTTAAAATTTTCTGAAACATATTTTTTCAAAAATTTTTAAACTTGAAAAGTTTCTTTCCAAATCCACTCGCCTTCCCAAATGATCTCTGCTAGCCTGCCCCCTCCCCCTCTCTCTCATCCCAAATGATCTCTGCTAGCCTGCCCCTCCCCCCCTCTCTCTCATCCCAAATGATCTCTGCTAGCCTGCCCCCTCCCCTCTCTCTCATCCCAAATGATCTCTGCTAGCCTGCCCCTCCCCCCTCTCTCTCATCCCAAATGATCTCTGCTAGCCTGCCCCCCCCCCTCTCTCTCATCCCAAATGATCTCTGCTAGCCTGCCCCCTCCCCCTCTCTCTCATCCCAAATGATCTCTGCTAGCCTGCCCCCTCCCCCTCTCTCTCATCCCAAATGATCTCTGCTAGCCTGCCCCCTCCCCCTCTCTCTCATCCCAAATGATCTCTGCTAGCCTGCCCCCTCCCCCTCTCTCTCATCCCAAATGATCTCTGCTAGCCTGCCCCCCCCCCTCTCTCTCATCCCAAATGATCTCTGCTAGCCTGCCCCCTCCCCCTCTCTCTCATCCCAAATGATCTCTGCTAGCCTGCCCCCTCCCCCTCTCTCTCATCCCAAATGATCTCTGCTAGCCTGCCCCCTCCCCTCTCTCTCTCATCCCAAATGATCTCTGCTAGCCTGCCCCCTCCCCCCTCTCTCATCCCAAATGATCTCTGCTAGCCTGCCCCCCCCCCCTCTCTCTCATCCCAAATGATCTCTGCTAGCCTGCCCCCTCCCCCTCTCTCTCATCCCAAATGATCTCTGCTAGCCTGCCGCTCACATTTGCCGCGATACAGGGCATCAGGTAGATGGTGTGGATGAGGAGTTGGATGATGTCCACAGCAAGATTTGAAGCGGCTGAAAAATTGAATTTCCTCAAAGAATAGCTCTCTCTCTATCTCTGTTTCTCTCGCTCTCTCGCTCTCCTTGCATTCCTCAAAGAACTCTGCTAGCCTGCCCCTGAAAATCAATCAATAACTCACCAATAATATAAATAGGACTTCCCCTTCCTCTCCACAATCTCCCAGCGCATATCGAATACAGTACGAGGGCGTTTATGCAAATTTCCGCGACGCATAGCACGCCCATAGCGATGCCGATCTCAGCGTGGCCTTGTTCTTCTTCTGGGGCCACGCTCACTAGTACCGTAGTACCCGAGTCGGGATCCATTATACTGTAAAAATTCAGACAGTCCCGTAAATTAAAAAAAGAAAAATTTGGAAATTAGGGGAATTTTCTGAAACTTGAATTTTCAAACAGCACGGAAATTAATAAAAAAATCTCGATCCGAGGAAAACGGAAGAAATTAGATATTTGCATAAAAGCTTAATTTTGAAGCAATTTAAATTAAGAAAAGTACCGTAGCAATAATGCGAACCGCAAATGGACAGCGAAATTGAAATAAAATTTTGATAAATTTGCAAATTAGATATTTTTCGAAACATGAATTCCAAAAGATAATATTGATTTTTAAGAAAATGACAGCTGAAGGATAATTCGATGAAAGATGATATTTGCATAAAAGCGAATTTTCAAAATTATAAAACTGTAAACGACGCAGCGTCACAGAACTAAGCAAACGAAAAATTTGCGAAGACAGGGATTTTTGAAACTTGAGTTTTCAAAGTCACCAAAAATTGCTAGAAAACCCATATTTGAGGAAATTCGATACAAAAGAGGAAGATGGACGATTAAAGAAATGAAAAATTGAATAGAACCATTCTCTGAAACATTTTTTGATTTTTAAAACAAAGGGCAAAATTCGATGAAACACCAAAATTTCGAGTATTTGATTATTGACGATCGAAATTAAAACCATTAGAACGCCGACCGTAAGGATTTTACGATAATCACGCCTTTAACGAATTCGATGAAACATAAAATTTCCCCTCATAAAACTTTCTCAAACCCATAATTTTCTAAAAAAAACTGACGCTACCGTAGTATCCGATTCAACCTCCGATATAATGTAAAATAAGAACGGACAAGCCGATTAGAAATAGCAAAAATTCTAGGCCGAGGAAATTTTGTGAAACAACAATTTTCCAGAAAAACATCAATAATTATTTTAGGAAAATCGTACAGGGTGGCAATTCGATAAACGTTCAATAATAGCTAAATTTTTAGCGTTTTTTTGAAGACATTAAAAGGCCGTCCGCGGGTCACCCGAACGGACCCCAATATGGCTTGGCACAGTTTTTTTCGACCCCACTTTTTTGACGCCATCGGATAGAGCATGGTCGAATTAGTGGGACTGCATAGTTTTGAAAGTTTAAAAAGTTTAATTTGGGGGTTTAAATGGACGTTGAAGTTGCAGACCCCCAAAAATTATCTTGGAAGTTACTTAACCAAATTCGCTGAAAATTTGTGCCAATACCTAATTTTGGACGGGGATCATTTCTCTAATACATTGCAAAGCGTGAAAATGGCCGGAACATAGGAATCTCCACGTACACAAAACAGTTTTTGGAGTTTTTCGTTGTGAAGGGTTGTTGGCTGCGCGCTGTAAATAGCATAGAAAGATGCGCAAAAACTTTCTGCATCGAATGGTGTATCATTTAGCGCGCAGACAGTAACCCTTCATATTCAAAAAACGCGATTTTTAAACGGGAGAAAAGCTGTAACGTACTCCCGAGGTTTGCATATTTTGAAAAATCGGAAACGGGGATGGGGTCTAAAGATAAAACTGTATCCATTGCAAAAAAGAGCAAAAAGAAATTCCCTTCCCACTCGGAACTGACGATTTGCGGGGATCGAACCCGCGATGGTCCGCCTTGGGGGCACTGGGGACAGCCGCTAGTGGGCGCCGCCATGTCTCAGGCGAACGACCCGAGTTCAATCCCAGCCCCCTCTCAAAAGACGAATTTCTTTTTGCTCTTTTTTGCGATCGTGCGGTTGGACCCTCTAGATGAGCGTCCATGTCTTATTTTTCATAAATATTCGAATTTTTTCTTTTTGGTACCCTATAAGCCCTTTTTTCAAAATGAAGGGTTTCTGTCTGCGCGCTAAATGATACACCATTCGATGCAGAAAGTTTTTGCGCATCTTTCTATGCTATTTACAGCGCGCAGCCAACAACCCTTCACAACGAAAATCTCCAAAAACTGTTTTGTGTACGCGAGATTCCTATGTTCCGGCCATTTTCACGCTTTGCAATGTATTAGAGAAATGATCCCCGTCCAAAATTAGGTATTGGCACAAATTTTCAGCGAATTTGGTTAAGTAACTTCCAAGATAATTTTTGGGGGTCTGCAACTTCAACGTCCATTTAAACCCCCAAATTAAACTTTTTAAACTTTCAAAACTATGCAGTCCCACTAATTCGACCATGCTCTA